CAAAATAAACAGGAATTGTTTTACAAAAATTTAGGAAAAAATGTGAGCAGACAATTTTCAAATCCAATATGGGTTTCCTGAAAATCGCATGTAATATAATAAGTGATTTCATTAGATCTCCTGAGGTTTGTAAGTATAAAAATAGCCAAGGGCCTAATAACGACTATTAATCTTTATTTTCCCTGCAAGAGAGCTTACATGAGTCAGAGTGCAAATGGTCATAAAACAAACGCTGAAGTATGTTCCGTCACCACCACAATTAATAGATTGGATGGCTTTTGTTTCTTCCTGGCTGCAGTCCTTCCACGGACCCACAAAGGGAATCATAATAATGCCGAATGAAGTAATTGATTGCAGATGGATGATGACAGGAGGCACAAGGCAAGGCCCGGGGGAGGCCGGGGGGCGGCGGGGGGAGGCCGGGGGGAGGCCGGGGGGAGGCGAGCCCCAGGGGTCAGAGATGCACCACGCAGCGCAGCGCCTCCCCCGCAATGTGTACTTCGCGAAGTCACATACTGATTCCGAGTGCCGTTTCATGCGGCGTTGCCATGCATGGCCCCAATTAGTACAAAAATGCAGTTTTGAGAAAATGGACCTAGTTGCGTTTGAGGGGAAAATTGAATCGGACAAACCCTCTGTTTTTCGTAAAATTGTCAATAATTGTAATTATCCGAAAGATTCGAAAATTGATTGTGATTTGAATTGGATTGTTAAAAATTGACGGATTTTACTCTCAACTATAGGAAAAGGGCCTTTTTTATTCCCTGTAAGACGAGATGCTATGTTTAGCGTGGTTACTTTTGTACTGACTAAAAAAAAATTTTCATGAAATAAATAAATATTCAAATTTTTTAGGCGGATCCAAACGAGAGGCGTAGAGGGATCCCTGGAAGAAAAATAGAAGCTATCTGGATTAGTAAAGCAACTATAGAAGAAGAAAATGCAACACGGGTCACTTTTTCGATCTCTCACTCCTAAATTTATGATGAAAGAATTATTAATTATGCACGCTGAGCAGATTCATGTACCTTCACTGGGTATCTCGAATTCTCTACCTCCCCACCCCATTCCCTCGTATGCCGACTTTATTCTGTGAAAAATATCATTTCTAGAGAACTGTTTTGATTTAAAAAGGTTGTCGGAGAGTAATAAACGACCGTTGAATTTTATTGTCATCGAATCACTTGTTGTCAAAGAGTAGCATTTTCCTCTATAAATACCATTTGATACACAAGTGAGGATAATTTAAAAATCGAATGATTTTTATGGTTTCGGGGCTGGGCTTTTTTCACCGGTAAGTCTGCAGGAATTTGATAGCAATACTTAATCCGCGTAGATGTCAGATATTATAAAAATATCTTTGATTCTAATCAATTAAACAAAGATCAACGTGTGAGTTATCAATGAAAACGGATTTTGCAATCACTAGTTGAAGTTCACTGACAATGCTCAAAGAGGTAACAAAAAATCAGAGGCAAAAGATCTAAAAATGTTGCTTTGAAAAAATGTGTAAGACAAAAAGTTGCAAAAACAGGAAATAAGTCAATGAATGTGAACAGAATCTTACCACCTTACTCCCCTTTAGTATAAATTTACTTATTAGAGAGATGAAATCACGATGGAAATCGACACTTTTAAACTATAAAAGCCCTTCCTTCCGAAAATCCTTCATTGAGAGTTTCTGACCTTGGTTTTGTAAGTGATGGCAAATTGCAATAAAAATTCGGCGAGAAATCACTATAAGACTTGACGTGTAGCTATACAGAACCAAAAAGTTGTGGCGGGCCAATAAACCTGACTGAAATGACTCATGAGTAATTAGACATGCACATGACTAATGATGCTCGCTTACTGCCATACTGTCGAACATTTAGCCGCACTCATACTGTTGCGAATACGATTGCTGATTGATAAATTGTGACGATGACCTGTTGTAAGGTGATCAACCCTCTATAAAGCGCTTTCTTTTATCGTTGGACCGAATTCAAAAGCCCGTGATTAAATTGTGACCATTATACAATTTCACAGTATATTTACATGTTGGTAAAAAAATAGGAGAGGCGGGGATTCTGTTCGCTCTAAAAACTAAGGAACGTAAAATGCAATTAATATCCTCTCAATTTTGCAAATTTTTTTCACCAAAAAAAAAAAAAAAAAAAAAAAAAAAAAAAAAAAAAAAAATTAAATAAATAATGTCGCTAAAGCCAATTCAACCACATTTCTAAATTCTGCGTTTATGGCCTCTAGGCGGTTTTTAAATTGAGTTGTAATCCGTCATGTCCCAATTTATTGATTTTTAAAAGAGTCGCACATCGTGACGACAGAAACGTAGACGAAAGAAATCCAGTTTCTTTCATTTAGAGCTTGAAATCAGCGATCTGCGTTTGCATTCTCCATCCTGATTTTTTTTTTTTTTTTTTTTTTTTTTTTTCAAATATCACCTGTCACCATCAATCTCGACGGCTACGTTTGAGGTGCACTCGCTGAAAGAATGATCTCCCGCTTTCTATAAACTGATGCAGAATTTGAGTCCCGCTGCCGTTGAGACATAGATTAATCAACTGTGGCGTGGCGTGCTTTATGCGATAAATCGATTGATCTACCATTTAAACATATGGAGAAGAATCGATAGACGGAGTGTTTGCAACGAACATCTTCATAATCGATTTTTTGCCATAGCTCCAAATGAAGTAAAATCGACAATCGATCATTCATGCCGCGCCACTGTTAATCAAGCATTAAAGCTCTCTACGGGTGAGCTGTGTATGTGATTCGTGGAGAAGTTGACTCAGTCAACTTTTTGACGCATAACTACTTGCGGCTTACCAATCTGACGTTAGGACTTCCAAAGGTTCATAAATTAGCATGTTTGCAAAATGGGGAATATTTTGACCCTCGAAATTGGAGAGTCTTTCCCAAGGGTGTCTTCCGTATTTCCGAGGTGTAAAAAGTGCTTAAAAGTACAAATAGACGCGGAAACTTTAGGTCGACGAGCGTCAAAACGGGTCGGAACGGAGCCGCGTGGATGTACGTGATAGAGCCGACCCACATCGCGGCTAATTACTTGGCCGATTCTAGTTCCACGTTTCCACGAGACGGGACAAAAGCGACCAATTAATCGCTGGAGATCCGCTTCCTCACTCACACCTCCCACGCGCTCCGCTATTAAGCCGGCCACTTTAGTGCTTCTATTTTGGCTGACGACCAACGGAAACTCTGGGAAAGAGTCCGCGGCGCGTGCTATCCTCAAACGATCCTGCATGGCCTCAAAGTTTTACGAGGAAGAAACCCGGAAAATGTTTGTACTTTCTTTTTTGTAAGATTCATTGAGAAGAAAACAGTATACTCTTGATTCAATCGGATTTTTGCTTGAATTAAGAGCCGAGCCTCTTAATTCAAGCGGATTTCCTTTGGATGCAAGAGGAAATCCGATTGAATCAAAAGTATTTTTCCTTGTGAAATTGGATCCAGTGTCTAGACAATTAAAACATTTGACAAGAATAAATATTATTGATTCAATCGAATTTTCGCTTGACTTGAGAGCCAGGTCTCTACATTTGAATGGATTACCATTTGATTCAAACAAAAATCCAATTGAATTACGAGTGTTTTTACTTGTGAAATTTTTCAGGAGCCTCGACGCTGGATCCAAGAATCTTTTCCTTCCCAATAATGGCTTCTTTTATTTCAGGAATCATTACGTGACATCCACATCTAATTCAGGACAATGACGTGGCGTGCTTTACAATATATCGATTGATCCGCTATTTAAACCTATGAAAAAGAATCGATAAACAGGGCTTTCGCAATGGACACCATAATCGATTCTTTACCACGGCTGCAAATGGGGAAATATCGATAATCGATCGTTCACGGTCGAGGCTCGCCTCTGATCCAGGGGCATTTGTTTTCATCGGTTCAGGAGAAATTTCTACAGCGTAGGAGACTGCCTTTTAACCCCGGTGGATGAAAAATTGCATGACGGTCAAGGTTGCGAGGATATATTTAGACGGGGACCCGGAGGGGGGCCCGCGGCGAGACCCCCCACTTTTATTGGCGGAAAACGAGAGCTACGCACGGCGCACGAGCTGGAGCAGTGGCCGAGCAGTGGCCCGCACCAGACGAGGAAGACGTATCCACCGAAGATCCTCATTTTTCACCGCCCTCTCGCCAACGCCCGCGCAATGCGCCGCCAAATTTCCCATTCAGACGCCTCATGTGCGGATGATTTATTATATTTTCATATAAAAAAAAAAAAAAAAAAAAAAAAAAAAAAAAAAAAAAAAAAACAGGCAATAACATAAATGGACCGAGTTTCGGCACCGAGTTGTACTTTAAAAAAAAAGTTAAGGGGTTTAAAGTGGTTCCAAATTCCACACGCCGTTGATTTTTTTCGCTCAGAAATTCAAAATTTGAGAAAAAATATTTTAAACGTGAAAACAATCGTGTCCTTAATAAATCATGTAAAAAAACATATTCCTTAAAAAGGAGAAATAAAACTTCAAATCTATTTTTCTCAGTTCAAACTTGATGTGAATTGGTGCGTTTTTGGTCCACATGGTGTTCTTAGAAAATATAAGTAACAAAATCCGCAGCGTTTTTAAGGGATTCCCTGTATCACCCTCCCTGTCTAAAAAGACTCGTGCATCACATAGGTAGCAATCTTTCCTAATAATGAGAATAATGTCACCGTATTACAGTTTAAATGTATCATTTTATCGATTTATAAAGATTAGGTCTTCAGCTGAACGTTTAGATCACCCAAAATCCAAAGACCTTCAAAGCTCACGGTTACATTCCGTTACAGAATGTTTGAAAATCTGGACGGTAAAGTGCGGGCAAACCGCAACTTTCAACTTTGCGGTCTTCACTGGGCAGGAACTTTCTCGGCAAAGCTGGCAACTTTCGGCGCTTGGCAAAGGTCGGAGGTGAAGCGTGGGTGGGTGGAGGGGCGGGGGTGATTAATTTGAGGCGGGTGGCGAATGGTGATGGGGACTTACCGTGGGTTCGGAGTCGCTGAGACTGGAGCAACTTGAGGCGCGGCTGGAGAGGGGCTCCGGGCTGAGCGAGGAGTAGGAGGAGGTCGATGAGAGAGAGAGAGTGTCGCAAGCCCGCGTCCGATGCGGGCTCAACTGCACGTGCTTCAGCATTGCACCGCTTCACAACCTGGAAAAACACCCAAAAATGCATATTAGCACCGTCGTAACCACAGAGACTTTAACGAACGGATAGAAAAGTAATCTGGTGACAAATGGCTGGTTCAACGCCGTCGGATACAGCGAAAAACGCCGAGCGACGCAAATTAGCACGGTCGTATCTACAGAGACTTAAACGAAAGGGTAGAAAAGTGAGTCAGTGACAAAAGTCTCGTTCAACGCCGTCGGAAAGAAAATAAAACGCAAATTAGCCCGACCGTATCTCCGGAGACTTAAACGAACGGGTAGAAAAGTAAGCAGCGAGCCGATTGATGAAATGGATAGACACAGCTATAGACTAAGAAGACAAGAGGGATCCGATCCTGTTGGTGGAAGCAGATGGCTGCAATGGACAAAGGAGGTAATAGACTAACTGTAACGGTACTCCACGAGATACCCTATACAGTTAGTTTATAATTTTCTCCCTTTGTCTAATGATACGTCTTAACAAATAGGGTCGTTCCGTACTCCCTATGTCTTCTTTGTCTATCAATTTCAATAATCAGCCCGCTGGTGACAAAAGGTTGGTCCAACGCCGCCGAAAACAACGAAAAAAGCAAATCTTCCAAAAACACAGAGCGACGCAAAATTAGCACGGGTCGTATCTCCAGAGATTTAAACGAAAGGGTAGGAAAGTAAGCGGACGATAAAACGCTGGCTCAACGCCGCCGCACCGCGGGTTTATGGTAGTTCCACTCGCCCCCCGTCATCCTCTGGTTACGCAAAAGAAGACCGAAGAAAAGAGAAGAAAGAAAGAGAGTGAGTAAGGCATTTGTCCGAGATGGAAAAAAATAAACTAATTAAATATACGCTCAAATGCTCTCATAGTCAGAAACATGCCGCGCTATTTGATGAAATTGCAAAAAATAATCTTTGTTTTTGTTCCGATGACTTTGACTGAATTGACTGCAATGTTTTAAATACAATTCGCTCTTTGCTTCAAAACTTGAAAGGCGTATTACAAAATCTACGTTTGAGAAATCACTTTGCTTACGTTGGGCAAGAGACGGGAGAGAAATTTTGTAGTTCTCAGAAAAACCTATGACACTGATGAAAATTACCAAAGGAAGTAAACTGTTTTACGCGAAAGGCTCATGCTATGACTGCCTGTTTAACTGCTTCCTCAGTTCCTTCCTCTCTTCGTTGTCATAACTTCGACAAAAAAGCTTGAGGCTTCGGATTTCTTTGGGAGTTTGGCAGCATGGAACCCCAAGTTACGAGACCAGAGCCAGACAAACTACCGAAAAGTACGGGTAATAAAATTGAACAACCTCAACTACTTCGAGCTGTAAATCCTGTCAAGTAAAATCAGTATATCCTTGCGGCTTTCCGAGATGCTTGGGACTTGGATCCATTTGCTTGAGAAAGAGAGTGTTCTTTTGCGTTAATTTTGATGTCTTGGAGCTTAAGAATATGGTTTCATTGGCAAAGCTTCAACACCCTGTCCAAAACGTGTGTACCTGGTCGTCGCGGTGTTATACCCCAAATACTCTTTTCCCCAGGATTACACATAGTGCATGAAGAACTTTCATGCGGTAACGTGGGAAAACGGAATGTGCTAGTTTCTTTGCGCTAAACGACCGTGAAAATAATTCATAGATTAATTTCAATCCATACGAAGACGATGCCTGCATTGATTTTTCCTTATCGATCCTCTTTCATAAAAACAAACAGCAAAAGTGGTGCATACGTGGTATGCTTACTTGAGCGGCACGCGGTTTCAAATACAAGACTCCAATTGAGATTAAGTGAGAACCGGTCAATCATGAAAAAAATGCACGAGGGGATGCTCTATCGATAAAGTACACAAGTTTTTGCGCGGAGGCATGGCAGAGAATTTCTTTCCCGTGGCGAAAACGGAAAACGAAAGGAAATTAACGTCTTGGCAGATCACGTGAAACGTCAAAACCTTCACGGGAGATCTATCAACGATTCGTCGACCAAAATGTCAGATTCATAGGAAAATAACATGGAAAAAAATACAATCGAAACAAGGGAGTTTTTCGGTTTTTGTGGAAATTCGACAACAAAACGACGAGTAGGAAAGCTTGAGATTGCTAGCCAGCACCGCAAAAGGAGAACTACAGGTGAGGAGGCTAAGTGAGATGAAGATGGCTGCTACTGCTTAACAAAGACTGATTATGTTCGCTTGTCATCTTTGTCGAGATCTTTAAATCTGTATCAGAGGGAGAGATTATCCCTTCTCATAGCATCTGAGCTATCTCCGATGACGCAATGATGCCGTTCACACTATTTCAAAGAGTTCAAATTTCAAGTGGATCGATGGCAAAAACGGTTATTCTTTTTTTACAGGGCTGAAAATTAAATTCTCATGTTAGAATATCTCGTTCCTGGAGAAGGTTCCATCAGAGACAAAAGAAGACCCTCCACCAATTTGGCGACAAAGATGAGGCTCTCCTGCTCTTGCCGTCCATTCATTACGCAAACTATTTTTGGCCGACTTTTCTACCCCAACCCCCTTCCCCTTGCGAAAAAATAGGTAAGGGTTGTTGGATAATGTAGGCATTTCCAATCTATTTTGGTAACCCAATAAGTTAGGTTACTAATCCAACTCCAACGCCCGAGATAGCGAAGAGAGCAGTAAGTGAATTTTTGAATGAGCCATGGTTAGCACATGTTTTCATGTGTCTCGGGGTTCATCTCAGCACGCACTTACTGCTCTCTTCGCTGTTACGGCAACCAAGTGTAAGAGTACTTTAACCCAACTGTAACCCCCCCCCCCCTTGCGGAGCTCATACGACGTTTTTCCTAAACACGGCAGTATATGTTTTTGTTTCTGAGCTTATCGGTCCGACGCACTGTTTTGAAAAAAAGAGCTCAGCGGCTCGATGTTACAGATCCTTCCTTCTTTTCACAGGAGGTGGGGGGGGGGAGTGAGCGGTGGAGAAAGAGAGAGAGAGAAAACACAATTGCCCGATGGATGTTTGCGGTGGCGGTGTCACGCATGCTTGCGCCAAAAACCACCGCCCGGCACTTAATTATAACGAGAGTGGAGGGGCATGCGCATGAGTTGCGGCCGTGCGCCGGCCGCGGCCGCGGGATCGACAGGCGAGATAAGGCCACGACGGCGACGGGCGCACTGCGCAGGCGCAGTCCGAGTCGCGACGGGACGCGATCAGCGCCATCAGTGGCTCATGCCCGATCACCGAGTGCGACTCCCACATCCACAACCGGGTCCGCGGGACATCGCTGCCTGGCTTCCTGCGAAAACGAAATCTTCCGGATGTCGTTGGCGTGGGGTCCTTAGTCGGACATGCTCGAGCTTTTTGCACCGAAGGCGCCATGTAATCGGATGGAATCGGGCAATAGAGTCTTACCGTTGGAGAGACGCTTAGGAAAACCACCTATCTGCGATAAACCAGCAGGCTGAAGATTGAAATTGATAGACAATGCTATAGACAAAGAAGACGACGGAAAACGGACTTTTGGTGGAGGCGGGTGGTTGCTATAGACTTAGAGTAAAAATGATGCACCAAAGGGTCTCCCATGCTGCCGTGATAGCGAAGAGAGCCGTAAGTGCAAAAATGAAGTTCTGAGAAAACGGGCTTAGAAGCTTCTGAGTGGAACATTTTATTGAAAGAAGCCTCCGTTCTTTGTCAAATTGCCACTATTCGTCCGGAAGACTCCTAGAAATCATTTGGGGGATTAAAACTCGACCGATTTTATTTAAAGGTACATGAAAAAGGTAAAATTCAGTTTCGTGTTAGGTTATTGTTAGACAAGACAGCCGTAACTGCTATCTTCGGCACGCTTTCGTGGTTGCGTTTTGGACGCACAACGAACACATTTTCAGGTTAGAAATTCGCAGAAGAGGGCGGCACTTTACTGGAAAGCACAGTTTTCATTGGCTCTCATGCACCTGCGACTGTCTTGAAAAAAACTATGTCATTTTTTGTGCACTGACGGCTTTCTCATACGTCTCGTTTTCATTGAATTAGGATGAATTTTGCTGTTTTAGCTGTCTCAGTAATTTCATCTAAAAGAGTTAAGACGAATTTTGAAGAAAACTCGATTTCGAAAATTTTGCACTTACGGCTCTCTTCGCTATCAGGGCAGCATGGGTTGCCGTCCGCGAGTCTAGTACTTACCATCTTCGTCCACTCCAACCGCCCGCTTCCGCGAATAGGACCGCAACATCTTACCGTCGTCTCCTTTGTCGATCATTATGTCTATCAAAGTCAATAATCAGTCCTCTAACAATCAGGACTCAATGCTCTCTAAAATATAAAGTAACAGTGGAGATTCTGAAAAATCGCGACCAATAGATGTCCCTTCTGCACCCAATTCTAAAATACTTTTATGATTCCTATGCCATTTACTAATTTCTTCGCCGTTCATGGCTTGGGCTATTCAAGCAAACTTGCAACGTCGCATAGGTAAGTCGTTGACAATAGGACGTGAAACGAATGTAAAGTTGGCTCGGCGAGGGTCTCCTTACGTTGGTTGTTTGGGTGGACTGGACTTCGCGTCCCGCCACCGCTGTGCGTCACGACCCTCCAGTCTGCATCAGCTTTGACACGTTGCCAAATTGGAAAATTCCGACCAAAGTATCAATTATTTCCATTGCTTCATAATCAAATAAACATCAAGAGAGTCTAAAGACTTCAATGGTGAGTAAATACATCCTATTTTGGAAAGAACCTGTAGGCAATAACTGGTTTTGCAACATCTGTGTCTGACGAGCGATTTGGTTCTTCTTGAAAGATTGAAAAACAGAATTCATGAAACTTGCACAGAGAAAAGTTAGACAACTGAAGAGACTAGACATCCTCCAGCTCCGACCTTACAAACACAAGTGGGGACCTCTTTATCTATGAGGTCTCCACCATTCGGCCCTTGAAGTCACCTCCTTCTCTGCTCCGAATCTTTCAGCATTTAAGTTTTAATGTTCGACAATTTTACTGGGCATACTACGTTATACGCGTAGCTCACAATCACAAACCAAAAAGA